TTTGATTTTTCCTGGTGTCTATAGAAAGGGTTGTTGGAGTTACCTATGAACGTCTGCGGGAAGGTTTAGAGCTGGATGATTTACGCAAGTTTATTCTCTCACGGAGACTGATAGTGATTTTCCGAACACCGCAATTGGCACTGATTTATAATTCTTTGCTAATATGTCTCTCCATGGTTCAAAACTATTTAAATTTTGTGACCTTGTTTTACGCACCATCTAGAGTTCTTAAAAGAAATTCTATAGCGTAGAAATATAGTGGCCCTGAAAAAGGTCATTAGGGATCCAAAAGATTTACATACTGGTACAGCGTGCTATCGGCATTTCACATCGGTTGAAATTTTGCAGGTGTTCATTGTTGTAGTGAGCCTAACGGAACAACTACAGTGAAAGATGGTAAAGCTACTCAGAGAACCTCCAATGTCCGCATCCTTCAGGGTCCTACCAAATTTGTGGTGACCATCTCCGTCGCAAATGAAACTGCCATTTTGGATCGAAGCGAACAAACTGGTGTACTTGGGTATCTCCAGAGACAGCGTGCTCAGATGGCTTTCCTGGCAACAGCATTACGCAGGTGATCAGTGCAGTCAAACTCAGCTATGTAACGTTCGAAGGATGTCGTTGCCGTTGGTAATGCTTCTCATTCCGATGTCCACGTCCACTTTCTAGGTCTTTCAAATTAGCTGTGACGACTGTCCCCACAGCTAATGGAATTGCAACTGATCACGTTATGTTGTTGTTGTTTATTTATTTTTGAGGGATTTTAACATTTAAGGTCATTCATCCCTCTGATCACGTCCACTGAATTACAGTCTGTTTTATATTTGCAGAATAACAGCATTCACACCAGGCCAAGACGTGCTCCGACCAGCATTGAATTGGATTGTTGTGAAAGAACAACTAACGCTACTTGCGTCTTTCACACCAGTGCAAGTCGATGCCGACCGGATGACGGCGGCCCAGTCATGCTACCTATTGCGCGAAACCTTTCCTCCGGTCGATGTGGGTGCATTCGTCGTCGTCTTCGTATTGGTGTGATGGGTGCTGTTCCACTCATACGTCGTGTCAAACGCATATCAGTCCGTTGCTCGAAAGTAAATGACGGCTTTTCTCCTCCGTTCCATTCATTGGTGAAATGGTGAGCGGTCAACCGAGCGGTGAGCTCACTCATGTGAGCATGCGCAATGTGTCGTGTGTTCGATTTGCGCTCTATCACAACGTCCGTGTTTGGGATTTTTCGTTACATGCCTGAATTTTGATTTTTTTTTTAATGTGACCCCCAGTATAGAAATTAAAGACGTAGTCCTATGTCAAAAAATCATGGAGATAACTGATCATATGATGCTTTCTAAGTAATTTCTGATCATCCTGGTCTCATGGCTGAATATCTGAGAAACGTGATTTGAATTGTTGGACAGTTGAAGATCTTTAAAATATTTGGTCATCCTCAAGTAATATCGTAATAATCAAGAATATCCAAGAGAAGTTATTTGAATAGTTGAATACCTTCAGAATGTTTTACCTGTAGGCTTGAAAAAGTATCCTAATAATTTAGGAACATCTCTGGACTTTGGAATAATTTCTGAACAACCTGGTATCATAATAGAATATCTGAGAGACGTGATTTGAATTATTGAACAGTTTGGGATCTTCAGAATAACTGATCAACCAGAGGTATTGAAAACATATCCAGAGAAGTTTCTGGAGATTTCTGATGATATGAAATAATGTCTGAGTCACTTGAGAAAATATCTTAGGGATGTGATTTACAACCTGGTATCGTGGGTGGGAATATCTGAGCGACGTGATTTAAACTGTTGGACAGTTGAAGGTCTTCAGAATAATAGTTGATCTTTCTGAAGACTTGAAAAAAATATCATGAGAAGTTTTTGGAGATCTCTGATCACCTGAAGGTCTTTGGAATATTTTCTGAGTTGCCTGTTATCCTGAGAGAATATCTGGGAGACGTGATTTGAATTGTTGGGCAGTTTGAGATATTCAGAATAGTACCTGATCAACCTGAAGTCTTGAAGAAGTATCCAGAGGACTTTATGGAAATCTTAAATGGGACCATCCACGTAGCATATTTTTGACCAAATTATTTAGACCCCCCCCCCCTTCTTAAACACATTTTTACTAAAGCAACCAAGCTGCTACCTTTGTTATATCAAAAGTACGCCCTTTTTAATAGTTTATTAAATGTGCTAAACAAAAAAGGCTCTCGTAGTGTTTTCGCTTCATAAATCCATTTGCTCGTTTTTTGAGATATCAGCATTTAATTTTTTAACAAACATCATTTATAACTTTCTAACAGAACGAGATAGTAACTTAGGCTCTGAACTATTTGGCGATTATTTTTGTAACTCTGGTTAAAATTTGATAGATGGAAGGTTATCGATGAACCCTGCTATCCGAGCATGGTTATTTCTGACAGACAAGAAGTTAAATTTTGACAACCGTGGCTCGAAGACCGGTCCATCGACAGCACGGGGATTTTCGAACATAGAGAATAACTTTCGAAATGTCAGTTTTAACTACGAGTTAAATTTAACTCGACAAATGGTTCACAGCCTTAGTTACTTGAGCACAAACATGCGCCATCAAAAGTTCTAAATGTGTTTAGAACAAACCATCTGAGCTTTTTCAGGCTGAATAGCAAAAAAAAATCAGACTCGACCTCCTCCGATTTGCTTGAAGCTTTGCCTTATTGTTTGTTATGGAAAATCATTCCATGTTTACTAAAAATCAACTATTTTAAATCTCGCAACCGTGAGATCCGCCTTCGTGTCGCCCGGGTGTTGTTGACAGTCGACTTTTCTACGGCCTCGAAATTACCTGTTTAGCCTCCGAGAAGCACAACCCCATCCTCGTTACAGTGTACAATACCTACATACGCATCGTATCCGGCCTTCTCCCTTTCACGCCTGCAGACGCCGCATGTATGGAAATCGGAATCCTCCCTTTCCGCTATCGATCTGCTGCAGCCGCTGCCATCGCCACTAAGACATCCGGGAACGATAGGGTCTTGCTCCACAACTAGGCGAACAGAACCCTCCGCACTACAGCCAACCTTAACCTCCCCCCGGTGGCCAGGGTCCACTGGCATGGAGAGAAGAGTTGGCGATCAAACGTTGTCAAAATAGATACGCGGATCAAGAGAGGATTCCAAGCCGGAGATGAAGTTGGACTCGGAGTGGCAGGACCGAAAACTGCTACAAGTCAAAGTCTACCGGACGAGTGTTCCATATTTTCCACAGAAATCGCAGCCTCGAGCCACCCCTGGATACAAGCCATTACACGCTACGCCCTATCTTCCAGTCACGGGCCACTTTCCTGAGGAAACCGTACGCTCCTGGCCAGCCACAAGTACAAGGACCAGCGGATCATTTCAAGACTCCGAACCGGCCACGCGAGAATTTCCTGCAATTTCGGTGGGACACCTTTCCACAAGGTCTGTCCAATTTGCAACAGCCTCACCGTGGTGGAACACGTGCTGTGTATCTGACCGGAGTTCCAGAGGATACGCGAACAACACGGACTCCCGGAGAACGTCAGCAATCTACTTGGTAACGAGCCCTCGACGTTGGCTGCGCTGATCGCTTTCCTGAAGGACGCTCACCTGTGATAATGATGATGATGATAGTGGTCTACCACTCATTGTAGCACGGAAACTAGTCCGATAGCTGTGGGCTCTCCTCTCTGTTGAACTTGATCAAAGTTAATAACCTCTGATTGTCATCAGCAAATCACTGTATGAAGGGCCAAAAATCGCTTCAATTGGGTGGCCCCTACTCAAATTATTCTGGATAATACGCTTAACCAAATGCTAATTCGCGGCCGGATTCCTCCGATGGGAAATCGAAAAACCAGCACTTTCACCTCCAAAAGTATGTAAGTTAATTCCATCTAAATTGCAATAACAGCAACATCACAATACTAAAACTTCACTGAGAAGCGAATTTTCCGAGGGTTGCAATAACCTAGAACTCAACTCAATAAAGCCACTAGTCCTATTCTCCTCACCAGTGACAGAGAATCACGTGACTCGCAGAATAAGGGGCTATATACACCCCCCCCCCCCCCCCCCCTAGAGCTCTCCTACGATTTCCGAAATGCTGACCACGACAGTATCGGGGAACTTCTTTCGAATTTGGACTGGCACAGGATACTCGTCCCTGCCGATGTCAATGCAGCTGCCCAAACGCTCTCGCATATTTTGGCTTACGTCATTGAGCGACACGTTCCGAAAAAGTTCCTAAAGAAGGTAATCATTATGCTTGGCAAACAAGTGAACTCCGTGTGTTAAAGTCTTCCAAAAGAGCCGCGCTAAGAAAATACACCAAGTAGCACACCCTACAATGTTATCGCAGTTATCAACGAGATGTTCAACGGAAGCTTCGATCTCACCCGAAAACTTTTTGGAATTATGTGAATGAGCAACGAAAGGAGTTTGGCCTTCCATCGACTATGGTACTGAACGGCGAAGAAGCTTCATCCCCTTAGGACATTTGCCGTCTGTGGTAGTAGGTTCAATATCACCATTGCAATGATTAAACAGCAATTATTTTGTTTCGAACCATAAGAAATCCAAGGCTCAAGCACAGGAAGCTCACTATGCCCCTCCTTCCCTTACCCATTTGGAGGTTAAATTTTGCAATAACTCTAACAACGTCTAGCGTCTACGGAAATGAATTTTTATCAATCCTCAGGATCTCCGTTCAACATAGAAATGTGGCAGCTGAATTTATATCAGGCCCAAAATCATCGACATACCCTTTTATTTGAGTATTTTGCTCAACTTGCCAAAAAGACAACTTCAAGCATTGAGCAACTAAAGATTTGCAACTGTATTTAAAATTTAAAATGAACAGCCATCCTCAAACTACACCGAGCAATTAAGTTGTTTGAAACTAGCGAAGTCAGTCATACTTATTAATAAGTTTCTGTGATTAAGAAATATTTCCCTGAATTTAAAAGAAATTCCCTGAGAGATCTAAAATGTCCTGACTTTTCCAGGTTTCTTCAGGTAATCAACATCCTGACACGATTAGTTTGTCGAAGGATACCAAACGAAGGAAACTAAATCAAATCCACCCGCGTACCGTTCCTGCTACCACACATCTACTGCTTACCGTTCGCTTTCGGAAGACAACAGAAACGAAAACTCATTTAAAACAATCAACAAAATGAGTAAGCTACCAACAAATTTCCGAAATGCCCCCCACGCGAGGAGATCACCCGCCACGACTTTCATTTTTCCAACTATAAAAAAATCTTAATTACCGTTTCCACTCCCGAACTGCTCTTGTTGTTGTTGTTGCTAAACGGAAATCTCATAGTTCATATCGTACACGCTGCCCCGATCCGGAGGCGTCGGTGTCGTCGCCCGTCCACCTGACGATTGTCCACCACTACTGCTGCCGCCGCCGCCGGCACCATTGTTACTCCCGTTGTCCGTTGGATTCAGCTCCATCGAATCGGTCATCTCCAGAGCCCTCACGAACGACATCGGCCGGGTGGGCGTGGCTTTCCGCTTGATCTGCGGCGAAGGCGCCTGCGGGCCAATGCTGTTGCCGACCACAGAATTGCTGACGCCAACTTGTGCGGATTGTTGCTGATTGTTACCGTTGCCGATGCTGACCGCCGTCGGCGGAAGAGGTTGCGGAGGGAACACTGGAACACCACCCCGTAACGCCGGATGGTAGCTATTCATGGTGGCTTGCTGTTGTTGCTGTTGGAGCTGATACCTGGCGGCACTGACACCTCCATATTGCGGTTGCTGCGACTGCTGCTGAGCTGCCGTTGGACTGGGCGTGTTCTGGTACACCGATGTGGCCATGCTCACAAATACGCCCGGCGATTGTTGTGGCTGTTGCTGCGGATTGCCTAGAAGCTGCTGCGTTTGATTGCTACCGTCATTGCTAAAACCCGGCGACATGTCCTTCCACATGTAGACCCCCCGCTGGGGACTACCGGCTAGCTCTCGGATGTTGTCCACGGTCTGGTTGCTCCTGGCGTAGGAAAGCTCGGCGCCTTGGCGAGCCAACTCACCTTCCGAGAGATACCGCCGCTGGGGACTTCCGTGGTGGTAGACGACGTTCGGGGTTCGCTGCTGCGATTGCTGCTGCTGCTGAGGTAGACCACCATTGTGGTGGACCATTGGGTACTGGGATTGCTGTTGTTGCTGCTGTTGCTGGTGGTAGGGATGCACCGGGGGAAGACCCGTTTGATGGAGCTGCGCTTGTTGCTGCAGTGGGAAATCGTAGTAAGTCGCACCGGGCTGCTGCTGCTGAAGTTGTTGTTGTTGTTGTTGTTGCTGCTGCTGCTGTTGGCCAACCATGTTCACTCCGATGAAATCCGGTCGCCGGGGTTGGGTTGGCGTGCCTGGATTGGACCTGGTTTTCGGATTGGAGTGCGAGAGAAAAAGAAAGGAATTTTATTAGATTTGAAATGTACAGTTGGCACGTCGCGAAAGAGAGAGAGAGAGTGGTTCGAAACGAACGGAGAACTTCTACTGAGCCGAACGCTTTGCAAAGTTCCAACGCAAATAGGAAGCGCATTTGCTGAGAGCCTAGCGAGTTGAGCTTTTTATGGGAGGAAATATGCGCGTTAAGCTTGCTTTTGATAAAAATTTATAGGATTTGAGCTAAACTGGGACAAATGCAAAATATTCAACCAAAATTAACAACATAGCCGATAAAAAAGAAGATGTCGCAAGATAGTAAGGCCCTTGGCGGAGTGAATGCGACAAGCCGAACTGACCAGCAAAAGGAATAATAAGCATTAATACGAACTTTTGTCCGCTCGGTCAATCGCATTCACTCTGCCAGGGGTCTGTGGTCAGTGATTTTTTATGATGAATTATCGGTTATTAATACTCAGCAAAAAACGAAAGTGTTGTTTACATGTTTTTAAACGTGACTCAAGTGCAAATTTTAAAAGTTTGTGCGAAAATTATCTTCGGTAGCAAAACTACAGGAAGCATTTTTCAGAGCTGAAATGGGTCATAAACAAACCATTATTATTTACGATAATGTTTTGATTAACTATATACGTTGTACTGTGACAGTGGGGTGCATCATTTTGAAAAAAAGGGAGACATTTCTTATAGACCACTCTCTGGTTCGATTCAATAGCCTAAAAAATGAGTCTATGCTAAAAATGGTAAAGATTGATGAAGGTGGCCACGCCAATAGGTTGAAGTTTGTATGGAGATTTCGATTAGTTACTATGGGAAATTATTGAGTTTCACTTTAATTGCTCTAGCTGAGCATGCAATAGTCCTAACGATGAAAAAATGTGATATGTGGTTGTCATGACAATGATTAACAACATTTAACAACCCTTGGGGTCTCTTTTTTTATAGTGGGCCCCCCTATGATTTGAATTCAATTTTGTGGAATTCTAGCCCACATAAAATAAAAATAGATAGGGGAATGGCTCTAATGTTGGCCTTTGGATCTAAGATTGGGCTCATCGCTAAAATCTGCTATTTATCAATTGTATCTAGATGAACGCGTCATTGGGACGGTACTAATGGATATTTTGGTTTGCTATTGAAAATTTAGTCGATTGCTGAATTTATGTATGGGTCCAAATTAGGGGCATTTAGGCCAACATTACATCCCTTTCCCCTACTTGCGGCAATCCATTTTCGTTTTTTTTTTTAACCTGATTTTATTTTAGCACACATTTAAACTGAATAAACTAAATCTGTTTACGACTTCTCTTACTTGCGAATTTGTTAATTGAAGTGTTGATATCAATTTGCATCAATATTTCGTACGCAATATTCACGACCAGCAACCAATTAAGTCTGGTTTATAGTAGAGAGGGTATAGTGTAAGAGAGGAGCGGATTCAAAACAAACTGCATTGGCAACCTATGCCTAGGTGATTTCTAGCAAAACTGCCAATGCAATCAAGATAAAGGGTGTCCCACATCAAATAGCATAACGAAAAAAAAAACGCTGTAGAACATTACCCATTGGGTATTTTTTCTTGAAAATTTGGGTAGAAGTAGTTTAGAGTGTATTGCTTACACTGTATTTTTATCGCTGTCAGTTTTTCGAAAGTTGGATAAATTGGCGTCACCCGAACCGCAACGTCGCGAATTGATTTTGCGCAAGCACCTGGAAAATCCTCAACTTTCTCATCGGGACATCGGAAAACAACTCGGAATCGTGCAGTCAACGGTGAGTCGTGTGATTAAACGTTAATACGAAACTCTGAGCATCAAACGGAAGGAGAAATGCGGTCACAATGGATGTTTTATTAGTGATCAGGATCACAAGCAAGAGGGGCGCCGGTGGTAAGTGTGATTGCCTCTCACCCCAGCAGGCCTGGGTTCAATCACAGTCGGCGCCGCCGGGATGTTCTGAGGCATAACATCTCTGATCACGCCTTCTTTCGGAAGGGAAGTAAAGCCGTTGGCCGGTAAGGCCGGTTCATGAGTTAATGGGTCGATAGGTAGGGTCCAGGTGTGGGAGCTGCCTCCCTGGTTTCGGTAGCATTGGTGCTCAGCACGGAAAACAAGATCGACGGAAAACAAATCAAGGAAAAAAAAGGATCACAAGCGTGTCGTGAAAGCGTTTAAGCGGAATCCCAAGAAGGCTCCAAATCGTGACGAACGACAAAATACGGTGGGAAAGAGTCACGGGCCCGGAAACTGTACACCCAGATGCTGACGAAGCCTTATTGTCTCATCATGGATGATGAGACTTACGTCAAGGCGGACTTCTGGCAGCTCCCGGAGCTACTGCTCTTCACCGCCCAGCACAAGTTTGATGTTCCGGACGAAGTAAGGAAGCAGAAACTTTCAAAGTTGTACTGTGACAGTACAACCTATGGGAATTCCATAGGCCATAACTGGAACACACCATAATAGGAACGTATGGCCATAACTGGTACACCTACCCTACATTATTTGGCAAGCGATCTGCTCATGCGGAAAACGGAGTGCATCGTTCGTGACTACCGGGACTTCCTCTGTTGAAGCAACACGAGGGCCCTACGATCTAGCTTCGTGCCATTATTTAACGTAAACATTATCGAAAACAGTTCGGTTTTTTTTTTTCAAAACATTAGGATCTAAAACACGAACCCGGATGGCCATGGGATCATCCTCCGGAAGATCCGGAACATCCGTAAAAGTGTTTCATTCATGAAACTGACCCTAGACCTCCGCGGTTTTTTCGAAAACACTATGTCCGTGACATAAACATGGGCCTGGATGGCCTTGGGACCGTCTTCCGGAAGATCCAGAGCATCCGTAAAAGTAGTAAATCTATGAAACTGATCCTAGAGCTGTAATACAATAAAGGATTGGGGATAATCAATACATGAAACTGATCGTAGAGCTGCGGTTTTTTTTTTCGATATCAGTTGGAACTGTAATATAATAAATAATTGGGGTCGTGACATAACATGGACCCTGATGGTCCTGGCATTGTCCTCCGGAAGATCCGGAACATCCGTAAAAGTGGTCAGTCCACAAAACTGATCCTATAGCTCTACGGTTTTTTTTTACATTAGGATCTGCAGGGCTGTTACAACAGGCGCGGATTTCGCGAATTTCGCGATTTTCGCGGATTTGTCGCGGATTTGAACTTTCAGTCGCGAAAATCGTGGAAACATTAAATGATGTCGCGAAAATCGCGAAGATACTGATGTGCTGTCACAAAAAATGTGGAATTCATTGTAACCTTTCCGTCCCGGATTATTTTGCTATCATCATGTTTGTTCATTAGGCTCTCAATTTTTAACCATTTCGAACCAAACACGCTGCAAATAATCGAGAAATGATTTCAATTCCATAAGTCACCGGATTTACACGGAAATTTCCTGAGGTCTGTCCAATGTGAGACATTTTCCTTTTTTTACAATATGAACATAGTATTTTTCGTTGTCAAATCATAAACGAATCGTATAAATAGGAGTAATTTTTGCATGTATACCGGATATTCTAGGTTCTCCAAATCGTCCTGGAGTTCAGGTGATTTGTTCTACTATATCAACCAAGGCTCCAATAGTGTCTGTAGTATCGAAATATGTCCTAACAGATTCAAAGTGTCTATGTGGATTGTACCCGACATATTGCTACGTATACAAGATGATCTGAAATCATTCTGGAGATCAGATTATTTTTCTATTAGATCACCTAAGACTAATTCAATATCTGTAGTATCGAAATATGCCCAAACAAATTTGCAGTGTCTATGTCGATCATGCCAATCTATTTCCGTGTATGCCAAATGTTCTAGGATTTCCAAGTCGATATTTCGATAACACAGATATTATCCTAGTCTTTGTTTATTTAGTAAAACCAATCATCTGAACTGCTGGACGAATTGGAGAACCTAGATCATCTGGTATACGTGGAAATAATTTAACATTATCTGTATATACACCATGAAGCTGTTTGGACATATTTCGATACTACAGACTTTATCCCAGTCATGGTTGATCTTGTAGAATAAATCATCTGAACTCCAGAACAATTTGGAGAACTTAAAACATCAGCTATACATGACAATAGTTCATGCATGATCCACATAGACACTGTGCATCTGTCTGGAAATCTTTCGATACTAGAGACATTGTCCTAATCTCGGTTGATCTAGTAGATAAAATTATCTGCACTCCAGGACGATTTGAAGAACCTTGAACATCTGGATTACTCGGAAATAGATCATGCATGATCCACATAGACTTTGAATCTGATTGGAAATTTTTCGATGTTACAGACATTATTGTAGTCGCAATTATTTTTCCGGTCAAAATAACAATATTGTTCAATTGTTTTAGAGATCCCGAAAATATAGTTGATTTGACTATATATAGAGGGCAACAACTATAGTCCATAGTTGGCTCCTCGGTTGGCTCAACTATATTTTTCAATAGATGAACAAACGTCAAACTTCAAAAAACAACTATGCTTTAGTTGATTCAAGAAAACTATTGTTAAGGAAGCAAAATTTTACAATGTTTATTAAACGAACTGCTCTTCATTATCGACATATTAAGGAAGTTTGTTTTGTTTCTTTATCCATCTCAAAAACACAACTGCAAAATCATAAAAAAGGTGAACAAGAACATTCAACTAAATTTGAACCGTGTTCATCTGCGTGAGAGCCAGCTATCTTATCGCCTGCTCTACGCATCACAAGTTAAAAGTATGTGGATTTATGATAATCACTTGAAACCAAATTATATAACTAAATTACATTTGACGGTTGTTATAATTGATCAAAGTTATATTTGAATTGAGTATAAGATGAACAGTTGAATCTATAAGGTAGATATGATTGAGTTGACGGTCAAATTAATGCTGGAATAACTATAAGTTTCTTTCAAACAACAATATTTTTCCATGTGAAAGTAACTATTAGGATTGT